TGGAACACGTTAACAATCACATGGACACGCCGCCCGTTCTGACGCCAATAGTTAACAATGTCGACGCAATATCGAAGGGTGATGTTAAAAGTGAACGAACAGATAATGTGAAAAACGAGTGTAATCGGTTACCGGTTAATGATTGTATCGAGAATAATATACGTGTGGACAGTGCCGCTGAGGAGAGATTGACGAATCACATAGAGGAGAAGCGCGAGCCGAAGACCGAGAGAGAGAAGAAGTTGACGAAGAAGGAATTGGAGGATATCAGGCGACACAATTTGAATATCCGGGAACTCGTTTACAAGGAAGTACGAAGAAGAGGGAAAAGTAAGTCTTCAATCAGTTCTCTTTTATATCCTGAGAAACGTCGCGAGATTAATAATTAACAAAAAATTATATCGCTAACGATTCTCATAATAGCGTTAACACGTAACCAATTCATTTCGTTTCAGATTACGCAACACTGTTCTCACACTTACATCAAGTTCAGGGGACCCTAGATATACGGCTTGCGTTTGTAAAAGACATAGTAAAAGAATCATTACGCTTTAAACGACGTAACTTGGCGTCACTGTTAGAAGAATATCTTAAAACCATTCAAGAGGATGGTTGCGCTATAAATCACAAGCTGAATCACAATGGTGCCACGAAGATAAGTTGTTAAGATATATGCGTAACCAGGGCATTGTCTTAATAATGTGAAGAACATAAATTGCGAAGGAACTCTTGTACAAGTTTTTTGCCAAAGATTTTTAGTAGCGAGTTTCGATCTTTTCGAAGTAAAGCTACTTTTGATAATCAATGGAAAAACTTGCGCAATTTTGAGATTTCTAGCAAATTTCAATAGCATTCTCGATATCAACTATGTGTCACTTTTGTTTATTTTTTGGCTTTGTAAATTATCAATAGAAATTTTGGATATATTATGTAGAAGGGTGCTAGCTTAATGTTAAAGGACAACCGCCTGACAAATAAAAGATCAGAGTTCGACTCCTGGACTTGTCATCCCGTTTATATATAGAATTTTGTTTGGGAAAAATATTCTGATACCAAATGTACAATATGTATATTTTCGTGAAAATGCTTATATAAAATTTGAAAGTTTGGAAACTTTTAGATAACACATGGCACTCTGCACAGCCACAAATTAAAGCAATGATTTTTATTTACCACTCCATTAGTAATGTGAAAAAAAAACGGAGCAATATTTGACGATATGTATTAAATTTTGTTTAATTATATTTCTCGATTAATAATAATAATATATATAGTCTCTTCCTAAAACTTAATTGTTTTAAGTGTTAATCCAAAATCTTTTTCATCTTGGATACTCTAAAGTATCCTAAGTAACACACAACCGTAACGTGATATATTTGCGCAACGTATGGAATCCTTCACAAATACACGCATGTTTGTATATCATTACATGTAAATACATTCGCACATTTGTTTCATCATCTACTATATGATGTACTTTTCCATAATCTTGGAATTTTGCCGGAAATCATTTGGCGCACATATAAAAACGTCTTGGATGCTGGCATACAAGACATTAATTGCGTGTATGTGAAATAATAATGCAAGAATGACTTATATTAATCTTTTAAATATGAATCCACAATGTTTCAGAAGTACAAGTGCAATCAAATGAATCGGTGCATAATTCTATCCAGTTTTCAACGCCCATGTCGGATTTAGGATATAATTATATTACTCTTACAATTTACATTTCCTATTACATTTAACCTGTCTATAATCACTTGTGATCTATATTATTAAGTTTAATAAAATGCCATAGTTTAATACATACACACTGTACCGAATTGTCTAAATTTTGTTTTGCACTTTGTTGAATGTCAAAAGCAAAAATCTGGCTTTCTATTGATGGTACATTAATAATCGCGTGATTTCTATAAAGACGAGAACATATCTTTTATTATTTGTGAAGCAAGAGATTGTAGAGAAAATCGCACATTATAAAAGAAATTTATTATGTAAATTACTGAATTAAAATATTACTAAAGAAATGAATAGAAATTCTTGGTTGCAGTGGATTCTAATTCTTTTGCGTGTTGCAACGTTCAGCTTTTGTATGCGAGATCTATCGTAGATAGGATTGTACCAAAAAATATTTGTGTATATTTAAACGAGACATAAATGCAGGTTTGAATTTATTGCGAAATCTACGAAGGGTTGACAGTGCCTGATACTATTTGAAATTGAGATAATATATTCAACCCACTATGTCTCCAAAAAATTTTTTAATATGTTAGTTTATTTTACATATAACAAA